AGATGAAAGGAATTAATTTTGGATCAGTGTTTGCTTTGTTTTAATCTCCCATGCTTTTCCATCTCATTCCTTTTGTACTTGGGCAGCCAGCAGAGAACTGAACATCTTTGTTTGAGTAGAAAAGTAATGTTCTAGATTAGGAAGTCAGACCAGGTGACCAGGGTGCCTACCAATGATGGTCCTGATGATGCATGAAACTTGCCAGGAGAGAAGCATTAAAAGAAATAATCAACTGCCTAATATGTAAATGCATTTGGATTGTACTGTTTACTGTCACTTTCAAACTGAAAATACACAAAAGGATGACCTAGAAAGAAGCAGAGAAAAACTGTGTGGCATTTAGATGCATATCACATATGCATAATTGATTCTTTAAAAGGTTAAATACCCTTAGCATATGTATATGTACAGAGATGTCCATGAGTTCCTAACATTATGGCAGCGGCTTTGTTTTAAGTAATTCTAAAGTAAATGTCACGTTTCTTCTTTGGGAATTCCAGGACTGGTATTCAAAAAAGCATGTTTCCAAGTAGATAGCTAAGCAAAGGAGCTACACTTTCCCACACAGAAGGTCCATTCATGTAGCTAGTATTCTAAGCTTTAGAAAGCACAGACTGCCACTAAATTCTCTTTGGAATTGAAATGCAATTACATATCGAGGACAAGTGCTAAATATAAACAGAAAAGGCCAAATACATGCCTTTATCTAATTTTTTTGCTTTGTTTTTACAGTACATTTGCAGGAAGAATTAGCTGCCTCAGACATAGTCTATTCTTTAATTGAAACAGGCAGATCAGGCATCTTGGTGAATCCTCATGTTTTTTTGTCTAAGTACCACGTGCTAACCGATTGCGCCACTGGAGCTCCGAGCACGTTTTTTTCCGAGGCTTATTGGAGTTTTAAAGGACTGATCTCTTATTTTTATGTTCACAAACAATTATAAAGATGGTTAGAAAATTATTTAAAAAACATGTCACTAAGAGGTACAGAACAAAACACTATTTTATATGCTTTGGTTTTCAGAAAAAATAGTTTATGTGTTGCATAAGGATAAATAAGAGGTAAAAATCTATAAAAATGAGAATGACTGTTACAAACATTGAAATTATGAATTGTTTCTTTTTTATTTTTATTTATTTATTTTTTTCCGGTACCGGGAACGGAACTCACGACCTTTCGCTTGCCAGGCAGGCGCTTTTACCGCTGAGCTAAATCCCCAGCCCCACGAATTGTTTCATCGGGGAAGTTTACATGATCACACAATGTTTTTCCCTGGATGGATGCTCTATAAGTGTCATTTAAAAATACTCAACAATTTTAGGTATGTTATGTTTCTAACATTTTAAAAATAGAAGCAAAATAAATAAAACACAAAAAAGAAGGAACAAATTAAGATGGTTAAAAAAACAATTTGAAATAATAATAATAAGTATATTAATCTTAGATTGAAGGATACATTTTCACTAAAATTTTGGTTAGGAATGATATGTAGACCATGTATAAGACACAGTTGAAACGTAAGTCCCTAGGAGATATAAAGCAGGAAGATGGGAAAAGGAATACCAGATGAATGATAACAAAAGAAAGCCCATGTAACTGTATAAACGAGTAAAGTTGAACTTTAGGACAAGATGCAGTGTTTATTCTCTGTGACCAATTTCTGCTTTGTTTTTATCCTTTGACCCTACTATGTCCAAGCATCCCTTCCTGACATTTCATGACTTTTGATAAGTCATCACCATCTACTTTTGTCAAATTCTAAGCTAATCATTTTCAAAGCCCAGGATGTTTAACATCTCAAATCTGGTAATAATGATATTGTAGTGCTCATTTGGTCCTTGCATGTTATGTTTAGTCTTATTCATATTCATGCCTTTCTTTAATTAAATTATAATAGCCAGAACTAGAGACTGCTTTTTCCTTCTGGAAATGCCCTCTACCCCTCAGTCCAGGACCTACTATATGGAAGAACCACATCTCCTGGCATTACTATATAGTAAGAGTCAGTAAAATGTCGGTGATCTACTGACAAATGTCTTGTGAAAGCACATTAAGTGCTGTTTTGGGATGTTTGAGGACTTTGTCAATGCTATTCATTTATATTTTCTAAGTAAGCACTCTCTCAGCCAAAATTTTGCCATGGAGGAAGAGAGACACACACACTGGGGTTGGAGAATGATCAGAAGTGTAGCGTTGGTGAGACAGACCACAGCCCCAATAGAATGGTGCCCTCCTCTGGACCTAGCTGGAAATTCCAACAGAATCATAACTATGGTCTTTAAGGACAGGAATCATATAAACTTTTTTAATCGATACCTGAGACAAAGCTCCACATTTAATATACAGTCAACAAACAATTCTACGAAGTGTGAGAGAATTCTTAGTCTAGAATAATCAAACTCATTCCCATAGCTTCAAAACAGCATATAATTTAAAATTTCCAAGTGTGAGTCTTTGGTTCTGGCTTTCAGAGGGAGAAAATGACTTGGAGGGTGGAAGAACCGTCATAGTCAAGGCAGGATACTGAGAGTTTCACCACAACTAGTATTCTGAGGCTTGCGAATGATCAGGGCAAAGCTGAATAGTGGGCTGAAGTTTGGACACAAACAAAAGTGCTTAAAAGACGATGGGGAAATGCACGTTCAGGGCATGTCTCGCTAGCCATTGCAAAGTGGCTGCAGTTCCTTGTTTCTCAGAGCATGTGAGAAAGGCTGTCTGCCATAAATCCACTGTAAACATGTTATATGCTTTGGGCAGACAGTGTATAAAGTGTGTAAAGTTAAAACAGTACATGGTAGGGTGTCTCTGCACACCTCTGCATATAGCTGCTCTCTCTGGAAACCACCGGTTACCAGTGACTACATTTATTTTTGGGTATGTACTAACATTTCCTATTTGGTAAACATTCACGTTTACATATTTTATTTTTTCTGACAAATAGTTCATGTTATAACGTCCTTTTTTCAATCAACAATTCATCCTACCTATAGTTCTTTTAATGTTCAGTTTTACTGAAGAAACAACTGGGATGAAGGAAAGGAGAAAAAGAAAGAAAGAAGGAAGGGAAAATATATATATGTACACAGAAGGATAGCTGAGGTAACTGCACTGCTGAAGTGTAATGGTTTATTGAAAGGAACAGTTAATGCTTTATTTTTTTTTTTGACCAATTTTGCATGCTTATATATGGTAATCTGAATGACCAATTTGAAGACAACAAGATGCAACATGACAAACTTTGTTGAATTCCTATCATCTTGTTTGGTGAAACTCTGTATCATTCATAATTTGTCTTTATTTTTTATTCTCTTTTAATAGTTTGATCAATCTTGCATTCTTACATCTGCTAATCTGAGCAACTTCAATGAAGATAACAATATGCAATATAACAATCACTGTTAATCCCTATCATTTTGTTCTGAAAATCCCTGTGTCATTCTTATTGTTTTTCCTTTTTTGTTTTTGTCTGTGTTGTTGGCATTTTGCTATTGTTCTTTGTTTTAAATTCTCTTTAAAATAAAATATCAGTCTCTAGGAGCCAGGGACATAGCTCAGTGGTACAAGTGCCTGCCTGGCAAGGGCGAGGTCCTGAGTTCAATTCCTGGTTCAAAAAAATCAGCCTCTAATACTGTGGGCATATTGACAGTGTCCAACGCTTGTTTCATGTGTGAATGAATGAATGCTTTTATAATATTTCCTAAATCATTCTAAATATAAAAGTCATCCAACACCAGGTTTTAGATGTGCCTTCCTGCCTATCTCCAACTTGTATCATTTGTCCTAGAAATATCAATCCATTGTTATGTGTAGCAAAATTATACCAACATAATTAACTAAAAAACAAAGTAAATCTCCAAAAATTCATCCTGCATAAACCTCTTGAATATTGACTCTCAGTATCTTCTTTAAGGATTATTGCTAAGCATTTAATAATAGTCGTCTGGCTTTGATTAGCCTCTAGTTCTCTATTGTTAATATAATAATAACCATAAATATGGAAATAACACGCTTAACAGTAATTTCATTGAGCGTTGATGGCAGCAGCTATGCGGTTAGGAGCATGTGTTGCCTCATTAGTCCCTATAACAGGGTTGGGGGTGTGATTCAACATGTGTGAGTGCCAGGGATTGATCCCCAAGACCAGAGAAAAAGTCCCTACCACACACCTGTGAAGGAGCATAGTTCTTGTAGCACATTTGTCAATGTCCTGTGAATTTCACTTTACTGATCTTGGAATATATGCGGACCAAGTGTGCAGTCAGATACCTTATTCACCACTATCTCTGAGAGCAAGCAGTTACCTTATAAAAAAGTGCCTTTTGGTACCTAGCTACCGAAGTGACCTCTGGAGAATGTGGATGGGTCAAAAGTGCTAACATGTTGACACCCCAGTAGTGATGTTTAACCAAGGAAGAGTGCTGGACATTGACAGATAAATACTTCTTTCCTTTAGTGGGAAAATCTTGAGTTCTTGAATCCTTGTGTGCCTCAGCCTCAGTTTCCTAGTGTAGTAAACCCCTCTTTAACTCACTCTTTATTACCTTTCCTCTCTTCTCTATCACAATTTCCTACCTGCTTACTTCCTAGAATCACCTCCCGAATAAACTTATACCTAAATCTTGATCTTGGGATTGGCTTGGGGGAAAACCTAATCTGAAGAAATAGGTCTAGAATGTTTGAGGAACTTATGCAGGTTCATCTACATAGTAGAGGGCAGAATCAAGACCGAAAACCGGAAGCCTTCCTTGAAAGCATTCTCCCTTACTATCAAGTGGATGACAAGTGCCTCTACATGGGCCAATGCATATGCAGCCAAAGCCAGAGCTTAATGCATATTCCTGCAGCTCAGCGCCATTTCATTCCTTAGACTATTTCTTTTCCACCACAGCACATCAGGACTTGCATTTTCAGTACTCAATGCATGCTTATAATTTATTACACAAATTGCGGTGTACAGAAGAGTTAAGTTGCTGGGTGTCTTCTCCTTGTTTTTCAACAGATAGCAACTTCATTCTCGCCAATGCCCAGGTGGCCAAGGGTTTCCCCATAGTCTACTGTTCTGATGGCTTCTGTGAGCTTGCTGGATTTGCCCGAACCGAAGTCATGCAAAAGAGTTGCAGCTGCAAGTTCTTATTTGGTGTTGAAACCAGCGAGCAACTGATGCTTCAGATCGAAAAGTCACTGGAGGAAAAAATAGAATTCAAAGGAGAAATTATGTTCTACAAGAAGAATGGTGAGTTTTCTTTCTTTGGTGCTCACTGGAGAGTGCGACAGGTCACCTTTTTCCAAGTCAACAATTGTCCCATAAGTCCCAAAGGCTTTACGATAGTTCACATAAATATGGCCTATTTAGAAGTTCCCTAAATGCCTTGGATGGTGGCCTTGTTTTAGCCATGAGCAGCATAAACTTCCTAAAAATTTAACACTGGAACTATGTCCATCCAGTATCAATCTATGGACTGAGTTAATGTATGTTAAAACAAAGTGTATTACTATTTTATTATAGTCATTCTTAAAATATATATTATACATGAGAGTTGTTAATATATATGCTATATATTCTTTATCTCAGTGTCTCAGTGTGGGAATTTCTCAGGAAATTCCCACATTCCCACATTCAAAACTGCCACTGGAGAAATGTGAAGTGTGTTCTTATGGGGGAAATTTTGTGATTGTCTTCCAACTGAAAGATGATCTAGAAATGGGTTTGGCCTCTGCAATGTTTAGGTACCATGTAATAAATATCACTAGCACATCCGCCCTGGTAGTTAGAAGGAATCCAAGAGACAGTGAATGGTAGAATGCGAAATCAAAATTATAACCAATTATCATTTCCCAGAATCTGAAAACTCTTCCCCTTTTTTAAATTGCTGTGCTTTTCCTTTCACTAAAATAACGCTGTACATTTCAGCTGAGTGCATGGATACCAAGCTAGAGGATACATTTCCAGCCCTTTTTGTAATTTGGGCATGTGTCTAAGTTTAAGGACAATAGGTGTGAAAATAAGCAATTTATACAACTTCTAGGTCAAATCCCTAACCTTGAAATTGTTTTCTAATTTCTCTGTCTTCTTTCCCACAGTATTATAGACAGAATTACGCCAAATCCATAACCCTCAGTGTGATTGTATTTGGAGATAGGGACTTTCTTTACACAGGTAAATACAGTTTAATGAGGGCGAAGAGAGCGGCCCAGATCTAATGTGACTTGTGTCCTTATAAGAAGTAGAAGAGGTCCCGAGCATGTGCACACATGATAGAAAGGAGGATTCAACAAGGACGCAGCTCTCTGCATGCCACAGAGAGGCCCTTGGGAGAATCAGATGTGCTAGAACTTTGCCTTTGGACTTACAGCTTTCAGAACCATGAGAAAATAAATTTCTGTTGTTGAAAGCACGTGGCCTGTGGTACATTGTGAAAACAACCCTAGTAAATTAACACAATGGTCAGAAAGTAAGCGTAAGGCTGGAAAGCCAGCTTTCACCACTTGGCAAGTTCAACACCATAGTGGAAGTCAAGTAAAAAGATGGAAAGAACCTGGGTACTTTTTCACCTTTCCTCCTCAGACAGAAATTAATCATTTCTATCTTGTTTGAGTCACTATATTCTTCGATTTCTACTTAACAAGATTTAAAGTTTACTCTCTGTTACAGTTTCTCAACCTTGTCTCTGTTGACCTTTTGCAGGAATTCGTTGTTCTGGGAGTCTGGCCTCTGCAGTGCAGATTATTAGCAGAATCCTTGGCCTCTGCACCTATTTCTCAATACTTTGATGATACTGAGGCCATTTTCAGGAAGTAGAAAGAAGCCTTCACATAGAAACTTCATACCCTTTTGTAATTTTCTTGTCCTTGGGGGACATTCCTGATCATGTGGATTTTGGATAAACAGCAGTTATGAGGTGTTGGAGAGCACACCTTTGGGAACAAGACACCCCAGATTTTTTGGCATTAGGAACATGGTTCAGTCCAGTGTATTTTCACAGTATCAATAGATAAGGCTTATGTAGCAAATATGATAAAAATAAAAGGATCCTTGCTCTGTGCAGTTATGCAATAATCACTGAAAAGAGGACCTGAGATAAGAGTAAGTAGAGAGAGTTGCTGAGAATTCAGACTGTCAAGGAGTGATAAAACCACCATTTAGTGGAACAAAAGGGAAGGGATATCCTTTGTCTGAAATATCTGCTGAGTAAAGACTCATCCTTCTTAAGATAAATGCCTTGAGTAGGCCACGGCAAACCCATTTGAGTGTCTTCCTTTGTATGCCTCTTCAAAATATCCAAAAGCATTATCACAGAGAAATGTTTAGGACAAGGAGGAAAATCTAGGTGTGAAGAACAAAGGAGGAAGATTTTGTGTTTTTTTTTTTTTTTTTTTTTTTTTTTTTTGGTTTTTTTGGTTTTTCTCCGGTACTGGAACCGAACTCACGACCTTGCGCTTGCCAGGCAGGCGCTTTGCCGCTGAGCTAAATCCCCAGCCCCGAAAGGAGGAAGATTTAGGGTGGCCCAATAGGTAACAATATGAGTCATATGGTGAGAACCAACACCATAAAGAATTTCCTGAGCCCAGTTTCTCAGGTCTCCAACCTTGCACTCAAGTGGGTGGGAATCTTTAAAGGCATCTCTCCATTGTTAGCAGCCACCAAGGGGAATTGTCTGACCTTCAGAGCAAAGTAATTGATCCATTTACCCCTGATTGAAAATTGCTATCTACCCTAGGCTCATCATGCTGTATTATGGCTAGTTATATATAAATATCTGTCTGTAGGTGCACTTGTCAGCCTGTGAAGGCACAGGCTGTGCATAAGTGATCCACATCCCTAGTGCCTAATGCCTTGAGTCAGATGGTAGTTTCTTCGAAACTGCTTGCTGAAGGAAATTGAAGTTGATTATTAGCGGGACTTACAGCTATTTGACAGAATGTCTGCACTTAATTTTTAAAGGTGTATTTATGACCTCAAGAGTCTTCTTTTCTTCAAGGATCATTTTCATTTAATATGCTTTATATTGGTCCGTAACTTGGTCCATATGTTGATACATATTGATTCATGACTGGCTCATCTTTCTGGTGGTCCAGTTATGACTGAGTTTTGTGGCTGGCGGTGCTCTCAAAGTGACTTCACTTCCTCATACCTCTTGCAGTCCTTAGAGAACTCTCTCAAGTTTTGCCTTCTCCTTCATGACGCCACTGGTTAAGACATTCACTGTTTATTCTCTACCGTCTTCATTCCTTCCCTTGGGGAAGTAGTAGAATGCTACACACATCCCCCACTCATAAGTAAAGGGAGTCCTTGAGTAAGTAAGTGTATGCACCCCTTCATGCTGTCACATTTCCTCAAAAGTAGAAAACAGTCTTTTTACTGGTACAGAGTTAACCTGACAAGCAGCTTCTATCAAAAATCCTGTGACAATTAGTTATGATTTGTGTCTGGATGTCCCCCCAAATAATCATTTTCCTTTTCTGTATTCTTTCTTTCTTTTTTGAGACATGGTCTCACTATGTAGTGTAGGTTGGCTTGGAACTCACTTATGTAGCCCAGACTGGCCTGGAAGTCATGCTGATCTTCCTGCCTCAGCCTCTCAAGTGCTGGGATTACAGGTGTGCATCACCATTCACATCTGCTTTCATATTAATTATGTGCAATAGCATCACTTTCCATCCCTGGGAGGAAGAATCTGATATCCAGGAATGAAAAGGCAGCAAGAGAACAAAAATTTTAGGCAGAAATTAAATGGTATGTTATAATTTTTTATGAAAATATTTTCATGGTGTATTAGTTCATTGGAGCTACTGTTACAAAGTACTACAAACTGATTAGCTTAGATGACAGAAATACATTGTCTCAGTTCTTGAGGATAGATGCTCAAGGTCCAGTTGTCTGTTGCTTTGGTCCTTCATGGGCTGTGAGGAAGAATCTACTTCTTGTCTCTAGGCTTACTTTTCGGGGTTTGGGGCCAGTGTTTGGCATCTCTTGCCCTGTGGAAGCATTACCCTAATCTCCACCTTTATCTTCACATAGTGCTCTCCTTGTGTAGGTGTCTGTGTCCAAATTCCCCTTTTCTATAAGAATAACAGTTATATTGGATTAGGTTCTATCATAATGGCTGCCTTTGTTTTTTGTTTTTTTTTGTTGTTGTTGTTTTTCTCCGGTACCGGGAACCGAACTCACGACCTTGCGCTTGCCAGGCAGGCGCTTTGCCGCTGAGCTAAATCCCCAGCCCCAATGGCTGCCTTTGAACTTGATTGCCTTTATAAAGACTGTACCTCCAACCAGAGTCACTCAAAATATGAGGCACTGGGAACTGGACCAAGTACATATTTCTGAGGCACAGAATGAAACCTAAAACACATAGTAACATATACATTATATAGATTAGGAATTAAGTCACTTGCTCAGAATCATAAGCCAGTAAATAAAGAAGATGTAATATGCAAATATTCTTGTTTATGCCAAGGTTCTTGCCCTGAAGCCATTGTGTTTTCTGTGGAAATGGAGATAGTGTAGTTCCCTGGGAAACTTTGCAAATCTCTAAGGGTATTTGACTCATTAGAGGGCATTCTTTTTTATCACTTCTTGAGTAAGAGTCAGAGATCCTGTTTCCTGTAGTGTGTGGGATGATCTTGCAACCAAAGAACTGTCCAATGTCTTGAATAATGTTCTAATACCTCCTGTCAGGCTTTCCAGAAAATTAAGCACTGGTTTCTTATTTCCTGAACCCAGAACTTAAGTGCACAAGATTTTTGGGAAGGTTTTAATATCCCACTGAATTTCCAAAAATGAAATGACAGTGTAAGTGAAGGAGACAGAACTTTGCGTTGTTCAGAATTTTTCCATATCTATAAATCCTGTCACTGACTCACAGTACTTGTGATACAGTATATCTGCTTGGGCTCTTGCTTGGACCTGTGCTTTTGCAGTGATTTTTCATATGGGTCCACTTACCCAACTGCTTTGTTTATTCTGCCCCAGGTGGTCATACCCGAGCATATCTTGTGGAGATACATGTTGTCAGAAGTCACTTCACTTTCATTTTCTGTTATGTTATTCTTCTTAATAATACACACACACACACACACACACACACACACACACACACATACACACGATTTTCTGAGAATAATGTGTATAGGTAGGAAATTTTATTATAATTTTTATTTTAAAATAGTAAAGATACATACAGGTATTTCTTATAAAAGGGGAATCTTGGGTTTGATAGGGTTATGGGCAACTCT